CACGACCACGGCCGCCGGCCGGGACCGGGAACGCCCCTCGCCTCCCGTCGCTCTCTCGCACGCACGCGCGGGCCCGGAGCTCCGGCGAGGTCTCCGCGGTGGCCTGGGCACGCCGTCTGGATTCTCGTCAGCACCTTGTCCTCCAGGCACTGTGGTACTAGGTAGGCATTTTACATTTGAGGCTGGCAGGGGTTGGCGACGTAGTGGCCGACCTCGGCAAGGGTTTCTTTTTAACACTCGCTCCTCTTTGCGCTGCCTGCTCTGGTTTCCGGTTGTGTAAATACCTGGCCTCGAGGCATACTGGAGGGGTTTACTTGTTGGAATCCCCATAGAGCTATGAAAGAAAGAAGAAACCTTGGGAAGTTCTTTGCTCTCTCAAGAAATGCGGTGCCTCTTCTGGAGTCAATAGAAAATGAAGGGTGGGGATATGTGGGGGTTACAGTGCTCTGAGACGTGTACAGGAGTCCCAGGGAGTCGCATGTTCTCCGGAAATGCCTCTGGAAACTCTCCCTTAGTCTGGAGAATTCAAAGGTCTGTCCCACCCTGAGTCATCACCAACTCTTGGTCCTAGGGAGCTGGATGTTGCTGTATGGCTTCTGGTTGGACTTGCCTCTGGGTGGAAGTTGTTGAATAAATCCAGAAATAATATTTCCTCTCCCTGCACTCCTGGAATAGTGCCAACTGAAGACAGTTCCCCATTCTGGCCACTTGTCTGTGGCACTGTGAACAGTTTGGCAGCAGCAGCACGATGTGAGAAGTTGAGAGAGTAGTTCAGTGAACACTGATACACATTCCTCCAAGAATGAATAACTGTTACCATTTTGCTGTAACTGCTTTCTTTCTTTCTCTCCTAAATACTTCAGCCAGCATTTCCTAAGAATAAAGACCAAGACACTCTCCTATGCAACCATGTAAGAAACTGAATTACATCTAAGAAACAATGATTTGATATCACCTAGTATCTAGCCTATATGCAAATTTCTCTAGTTGTCAAAAAAGGTCTTATGTATTGGTTTTGTAGACAGATGGTCCAGTGAAGATTCATGCATCACGTTGTTTGTTAGGTACCCTTTGAATGCAGAACAGTCCTCCACTTGTGTTATTTTTGTGGTGTTGACTTTTTGAAGAGTCTAGGCCAGTTATCTGGCAGAGGATTCTTTCTCAATTTGACCTTGTTTTCCTCCTGATGTCATTTGACTTTTTCTCTAGCTCCCACATTTCCTGTAAGCTAGAAGGAAGGTTGAGAGGTTGTTAGATGGCAAGGATCCTCGTAAGATGGCATATTTATGAGGTGCTCTTCTTATTGTTTTCCATCAGGTAGAAACTAATTGTAAATATTAAACACCTCATATTCTTATATACTTAATATTAGGTCATCGTAGTATCAGTGATCACTGAAATCTGAAGTGTCCTCCAGATGTCTCTAAAGTCCATTTTCCCTTTGGTGGTTAATAGGTAGTCTGTGGAGTGGAGACTTTGGAACTGTTTGGAAGAGAAAGTCTTAGATCCCTGCAGGGTTACAGATGCATTCACCTAGGTGAATAGAGTAATCTGTCATCTGGATCATTCTGGTACCCACTACTTCAGATCACCTCGTGCTAGATGCTTCATTGAATTAGACACTAGCTTCATTCAAAGAACAGTAAAACTCTGGACTCTGGAGTTTGGGCCACTTTAGAGTTCCTGTGGATAATTGTGGTAAAAGCAGTGATACTTTCTACAAGGTCTTGTGATGCTCTACAAGGTCTTGTGATGCTTATTTTAAGATTTGATAAAATCCAGGAGTTTCCTACATTTAGCTGGGCATACTTGCAGTAAACTCCCATTTCCATTCTAATAACAGGAACAAATCAAGAATATGTAATAGTGTGTGTAATCTCTGCCTGTAGTCTTCTGGTCTCTGGCTTATGTCATACATGAGTGTGAGCTCATCCATTTAAGCTCATAAGCTCTGTTAGGTGAGATCGCTGTCAAGTTTTCTCTGTATAACAGTGACCACTTCAGCTCCCACAAGAAAACTCTCAGAGGGTATCTTTTACTCCACAGACAAATGTTGGGTTCTAAACAGGAGTCTATATCCCTACTTCTACAGTTTTTAGTAAGTCAGTCTAAGTCAGTGGATTGTATCAGTGGTTTTTGTTTGCATCAGCAAATTAGCGTCTGCTCTTGCCCCTGCCAGTTGATCTGAATTTCATCAGGATCAGCTTTCTAAGGGTCCAAGACAGAAGCTAACCTTGAAAGTTATGTAGCATCATTTTTGTAACATTCTGTTGGTCAGTGGCAAGCATAGGGCCATTCAGGTTTCAAGGGGAGGGGATCAGGCAAGGCATGATCACCAGGAGATGAGGCTCACTGCCGGGAGTGTGGTGGGGGCTGTATGTTTATGGAAAGGAGCTACCACACTACTCTTGGCCAAATGCAGACTTAGATCTGTAGTATGGATTGCACTGGGCCTTTGCTCAAAATCAGGTGGTCTGGATCATCTATTTAACTTCATCCCCAGTTGTGATCCACACAGAAAGCTGAACTAAGTGGCAGACTTCTGCTGCAGGCCCCACCGAGCCAGACAGGGCTGATACGACCTTGATATTAGATTGGCTCTCAGAGTCTCATTCAGATTGAGTCATAAAACTTTAGATTTATGATCTCTGATGGCAGATACCGTTCTTTCTCTCCCTTTTGCCCATATCACCTCTGCCTGTTTCTGGTTCTGTGAGCACTCACTCATTTCTCTCAGTACTTACTTACCGGTGTCTCTGGCTATGAGATCTCAGCTCCCTGAGGGAAGAAACTCTGTACTACCGCTCTGCATTGCTGTGCTGTATCTTCAGTGGATAGGTATGGGATTTAACTGAACAGCCTAACTGAGGTTTAAAGTCAGGTTATTTGCTTACTTCACAAAAACAAAATTAAGTATCTTGTGCTACCTCCAAATTCCAAAAGAACAGCATGCATCAAAGAGTTATATTTCACACCCAAATGCTGTCTAATCAATCAGATAAACTTCCTAGCAATTTTCCAAACATATCAAGTGTTCGGAAGCCATATGCTTAATGATAAGTTTGAACTAGCAATCACCTTTAAAGACATACTACATTTTAACTTTAAGTGTGTCTGCAGATGAAAATCAAAATGTAACAACAGTTTGTAATATATGCTGTGTATGTTCCAAGGCAGAAGTAATTCTGGAGAGGGTTTCTAATCTAGGGTAAATGCTGCTACTAATTGCTCAGTTGAGTTTTTTAATATGTTTTCTCCCAAACTTCATTGTAACTCTGTCTTCTTCCACTTGACAGAAAGCCTTGACAGTTTATTATGTTTAGAAGCAGCTGGGGTGTATTTCTAATTGATGATTTGTTATCTTATATTTCTCACTTGACTATCCACATTTTTCATTCTCTTCTTCATTTTCCTCCAGCGTCTCCTGTCTTGCTGAACTAGATGGATGGTGCTGCTTTTGTGCAAACGCAGGCAGTATTTCAGTCTCTCTCCTGCATCTTCCTTCCATCAGACCACAGATACATACAGGACTGATGCTGGATAACATGCATATGGCGCTTAAACATTAACAAAGTGTACTCACATATACTGTATTAGTTGGTTATTAACTCAGTAATTCTGTGGGATGGATATTGTCACTACCTTCATTTGGCAAGTAGGGAGACTGATGAACAAATGTCCCAGAATTCCTCAAATTTAATGTGTCCTAGTCAACCTCAGTACCTTCCCATAAAGTCTGTTTATTCTCTTGGATTCCTGATTTGGTTAAAGCAGACCTGTTTATCAGTCACCCAAGTTTGACCCTCAGTTCTTCCCTTTCAATTACTCCACATGTCCAGACAGTTGCCAAGACCCAGTGGACTCTGTCTCTGAGACCACAACTTTCTGATCCTTCCCCTGTTCCCCAAAAAGCCTCCTCTCTCACCTGGGTTTGTGTCAGAGCTCTCTGTCTGCGCCCCTGACTTCCAAGTTGCCTGTTGAATCCTTCACATTACCTCGAGGGCTGTCTTCCTCAAACCCAGATCTTTTCATGCACTCCTGTTTTAATTTGGTCAGTGTCTCCCCACAGGGCACAGTGCAGAGGGCTACAAAGCTCTTCACAGTCTGCCTCAGCCGACCAGCTCCTGCTGCTCTGGTTCCTGCTGTAAGTGCATTTTCATGCACTCATCGTTGTACCCACTGCTCCCTCAGAACGCAGCTTCAGGCCATGATTCCCTCCACCCTGGAACCACATCACCTGGCTCACCCAAAGCCCACATCTTCTATAGTAGTACTTCTCCAGTCTAACTATAAAAAGAGTCCAGGGCTGCACTGTCTGATAGGACTTTCTGTGATGAGAAAAATGCTCTCTGCTTTCCAAAACCATAGGTGCTAATCATTTGTCATTACTGAGCACATGAAATGTAGCTAATGAGACTGAGGAACTGAATTTTTAATTTTACTTAATTTAAATTTACATAGCCACCATATAGAATCATGAGACTAAGTGGCCGCCATATTGAATAATGCAATTCTATATGAATCCCTCTTCATCCTTCAAAACTCAGTTCAAACATGGCTCAGCCTGAGGACCAGCTACATACTTTGTGGAGCCCAGTGCAAAATGAAAATGCAGGTCCCCTTGTTAAAAAGTTAGTAAGAATTTCAAAACAGCAAGAGTGGAGCATTAAACAAAACACAGGGCTCTTCTGAGTGCAGCGCCCTGTGTGTCTGCACAGTTCCCACACTCAAGCAAATGTCCCTGCTTAGACTGGGAGAGAAATTCACAAAGGGAATAAAGAGGTAATTTACAGAAGAGGAAATCTGCATAGCCAATAGATATCT